ACGAATGTAAAAAAGGAATAAGTGAAGGGAGGGACTGGGTTTGGGTTTTTAAATGTGAAAATCTTTTGAAAAGCTTCTTTTCACAATTTACTAAAAATAAACATATTGATCACAGAGACGACTCAGCTGCAGGAACAAAAACAGAACCTGAATTCAGGTTTCATTTTTATTATGAAAATAAGAATCATGACTCTTTTGTATATATTTATAATACTGACATTTTTTACTTAAAGACCCTTTTCACACATAGATTTGTTTAACTCCATGTTCTGTGTCATAGGATTTAACTGTACCGATCCTACATTTATTATAATTAATCAAACACATTACAAACTGAAAAGAACTGAATCTACATGTTAATGTCCTCTTATGATATATTAATGAAGGTTGCTAGATACCCAACAAAATGTGATTTCATTGTATCTCTGAAGAGCTGAATGGATGATTCCATCTGAGGTGATAACATGTGTCACCCTCTGTTAGCCACCAGCAGGAACTACAACAAAGTTCACCTTTGCTTAAGATGATTAGCGACTCTTGCCACCATTTCTAACTGCACATAAACTTCAAAATTTCAGGTCATCATCCTGAACCACCCCGGCCAGATCAGCGATGGTTACAGCCCAGTGCTGGATTGCCACACAGCTCACATCGCCTGCAAATTCAAGGAACTTGTGGAGAAGATCGACCGTCGGTCTGGTAAGAAGCTCGAAGATACCCCCAAGTYTGTGAAGTCTGGAGATGCTGCCATTGTCCTCATGGTGCCTTCAAAACCCATGGTTGTTGAGGCCTTCAGCGATTATGCCCCACTGGGTGAGTACAATTATGTTTTTTCTTGATTTCTGCATTTGTGGCCTGTGGACTTAAAAATTACATTTCATTTGCATTCACTGCTCAGAGACCAACTGAGACTTCACACACTTTCAAATTCATTCCTTACATCTAGTGGCATTTCAACTACTGTAAATGCAATCTGGTCATCGCGGGTTACACGTGTCCAACCAATGTAGACACACAAAATCCACTCTGCGTCCATTGTGTTCTATGTGTGTCATGAGCAGGTTAATTCACTGAATTCTGAATTCTGTTTGTCTCTTCTCTGCTCCGTCTCTTTCTCGCAGGTCGCTTTGCTGTGCGAGACATGAAGCAAACCGTGGCCGTCGGTGTCATCAAGTCCGTCGAGAAGAAGGTCCCCACCTCTGCAAAGATCACCAAGTCTGCACAGAAGGCTAAATGATAGAATGATTTCTTATTATGATTCAAACAATAAAAAATCTTCAACATTCCAGATGAAAAGGTTTCTTTAAATGAATCATGTCATCTTTTATGAACAGTCTGGTGCTTCAAAGAAAGTATGATTTATTAATTGAGTCGGACTTATGACAAAGTTTTGATATTTGTACTTAGATTCAATAGCTCATTGTCCTATAAACTCACTTTACACATCTCTCTCTAAAACTGAATATTCAAATATGATTCGAACACTGGAACAGTTTCTTCTTTCAAAACAGAATTTTTTTTTGAAGGAATTTACCAGAGAAGTTTTAAAGTTAAAGTCAAAACCAGGCAAACATGAAGATCTTTTATACACGATGAAAGGAATGAGGAAAAGATGTACTATGCGTTTCTGATCTGACATATAAGCGTTAATATTTACTGTCAGTAATAGCTCCACCTCAGTCCAAGAAAATAAATCCCGTGGTCTAACATGACTGGATGCTGACAGAGAAACATATTCATGACAAGTGAAAACCAGTTACTCAGCCTTAAGAGTCTTTGGTTGGTCCAGTTTAACCAGTTAAACCTTTGATTGACTTTTCAATTTCAATTTATGATTTCGATTTGTGTCTTAATTTGACACTTGTTTTCTTTGGCTGACAGCATTTTACACCAGTTCTACAAGATTTTCCATGATGACTGACAGCAAATGTGGCGTAAGGGCCATTGAAGAAGCAAGAGATTCTTTTCTGAGACATTTTAACTCACTGTTACCACGACTGAAATCCACAATCCCACCGTGTGGTCCACAGACTTCAGATAACGTATGTCAGGCACGTCTGGATGCTGGAAAAACTGAGCATGGTACCACCATCATGTAGCGGACATTCCTGGCCTGGTTACAGCTTTCCCTGGCCCTCTACACACCCCGTAACCAAGTCGAGCATAGAACCTAAAGGTTCAGAGTGTAGAATGTAGTGACATCTAGTGGTGAAGTTGCTTGTTGCAGCTGCTCACCTCCCCCTCCCCTTCTAAACATGCGAGAGAACTTGTAGAAACCTTCAGTTGTAATAAAAACCTAAAAGGTTTAGTTTGTCCAGTCTGTGCTACTGTAAAAAACATGGCGGCCTCCGTAGAGAGGACCCGCAGTTTCTGTCACCAAACCGTCAGAAATACGACTGCACGCCTGGGCCGACAGTTCACTGCTCACTCATTCACTCATAGTAGTATTCAGAAAAGCAGTATTTCATGTATTTTATATTGTTGTTTCATCTATACAAAACATCTGTTTTTATGAGCCAAGGTTTGTATATTTGCTAATTCAAAATCTGAAAAATAAAAAGTAAATATATCCACATACAGTACAGTATTTAATGTGTTTCTACCACTGTATAACACATTTCAATATATATTTAGGTTTGGTGTATACTCACTGCCACTAGATGTCACACTAGCACCAGGATCTCTGACCAAAACATTGACTGTATATAAAGATAAATGACACGTCTCCACTTACATCCTTTCAATATATATATCTAGGTCTGGTACATGCTTACGTTGAGGGTTGTATACATGGTGTTCACTGCCACTGCATCCTCAGTCTAGTCAAGATGTTCTCCTCTTTGGTTCTTTCCGTTGTACTGCATAAAGTTACTTTTATACTGCTCCACACAAAAAACCACTCCCTCTCGGCCCTTTCACTCTCCCAACATGGAAGATGTTGTTGTTGGATGTTTATCTTCAGAATGCCCCTGAGGATTTGTCCAGTAATTCGTCATCAACTGTTTCTGCCTGAGATGCAAAGGAGCAATTCACCCACTTCAACCTGAAGAGCAGAGACAGGAGTTGATTTGAAAGCAACACAGCGGAGTCTCAAAGCTTGAGCTTGAACAACCGCCAAGCATGTGCTCCAACATGGAGACGCACGTGTACTTCCTGGATATTTTGTGCTTAGGACGCCATTACTCTAGTGATTTACTTTACATAGGAAATAGTTGTCGGCTGCTTTATTAATGCAGCCGACAAATAAAATATTTAAACTCGGGAAAACCTGCTGGAAATAAAATTAAACCAAATTATCATATTGATGATCTTGGCAGAAAACTATTAGAAGAAAAAGATCATCAACCAAAGCCCCACTTCAAGTGTGTACTTCACTGAGTTTTAATAGATTGTGTACGTTTGATAGAATTATAGAACACTGTACTTTCATTTCAAATCTAGAAATATCAAAGTCTTTTAACTCACCTGCTGAACAGAGGTAACAGATGTGCGTCCTCTTCTCTTCTGACCGTCCGAACCTTCACTTGCTGATTTATATATAAAGTCATGAGAGGGATACGCTCCTCTTCCTCCTGGATGTCTGTCTCTGGACTCAAACCTGATATGTGTGAACAGTTTCATTCCGTCCATTTATAATTACACCACTGCCTGCTGCTGAGAGCAAATTCAACTGAGCACTCAAAGACTCAAACCTAAACTGTTGATTCAGTTACTTTTGAAATGCCACAGAAGGAAATGAACAAAGTAGCGGAGATAGATTTCAGAGTTGAGTTGAAGCTGGTTCGTGTCCTGACAAGCAGAGCGACACACCCAGTGTATCTTGCCAAAAACACACAATCGTATTTATCGGACGCGAGTTAAAGATGGTGACAACTCACCTGCCTCACCTGTTGTACCTTCTGAAGGATCTTGTTTCTTTAGGTTAACGTTAAGATGATATACGCTCCTCATTTTCAAACCCACCTTCTGTAATTACATTTTCATCAACTTCATATTCATGCCCTTGTCTTTCCACTTTCACCCCCCTGTCTCCCAATCAAGTTCTTACCCTGGTAACTTCCACCTGCCAGACCACCTGCCCCATTGGCCCCATCCTCTCTCACATTCTCCAATCCAATGCTCTCAACCTTCTTCCTTTTCTCACCCATCTTATCAACACTTGCCCGTCAACTGGTTGTTTCCCTAACTCTCTGAATGAGGCAAGAGCAAAGCCTCTCCTGAAGAAACCCACTACAACCCGTCTGAAGTCAACAACTACAGACCTGTCTCTTTTCTTCTCTTTCTTTTCAAAGCACTCAAGCGTGCTATCCTTAATCAACTCTCCTGCTGTCTTCACAAGAACAATCTTTTTGATCCTCACCAGTCTGGTTGCTGTCTCTGAGCAAATTCACACTGTTAGAGCAGCCTCTCTTCTCCTCTGTCCTCATCCTTAATCTACACCTTTCTCCTGCATTTGGCACGGTGAACCACCAGATCCTTATTTCCTCCCTTCAGGATTTGGGTGTCTAAGGCTCTGCTCCCCCCTGCTCTCATCCCACCTCATCTACCAGGTAACATGGAGAGGATCTGTATCAGAACTTTGTCCTCTCACTACTGAGGTCCCTCAAGGTTCCATCCTGGGTACTCTCCTCTTCTTTCTGTACACCAACCATCTTAGATCTTTTATTCACTCGCATGGCTTTTCCTACGACAGCTACACAGATGACACCCAACTTATTCTCTCTTTTCCCCAATCTGAAACACAGGTAGCAGCACAAATCTGGCTTGTCTGACTCACATCTCACAGTGGATGCCCAGTCTACATCCAGGACATGGATATACGTCCACTCAGCTCTGCATCTGCCAATCGGCTTGCTGCTCCCTCACTGCGAGCTAGCCACTCAACAAAATCCTGACTGTTTGTACCCTCATGGTTGAATTCACTAATTGTAAGTGACTTTGGATTAAAGCGTCAGCTAAATGAAATGGAATGTGATGTAAAAGCTATCATTAAAACTGACTCAGCTCTTGGACCAAAACCAGGAAAATGATCAACCTTTAAAATTAAAAATAAATGATAATCAATGTGTTTTAAATTTGCTGACCGACTGTAGCTGAAATACACTGTGTGTCTGTTCGAGGCAGTTTACAGTCAACACGTTAAAATTTAAAGAAAGACAAAATAAATAAAGACATTCTTGTTGTTTTATTGTCAGTTAATCACTGTCACAGTATTTCCTAAAAGGCACATGCCTTCCTTTCCTGCGGAAATTTTTACGATGGGTTTTAATCAGCATAAGCCAGTCCTTGAGCAGAGAGCTCTGCCTAAGAGAAGGCGGTCTTGGGTGGCAAGGAAAGAGAAGGGATGGGGCAGCCCGCTGCTGCTGAGATGTGACATCTTGTTGGACGTCCTGAATGAGAATTCATTTCTTCTTGTCGGCCTTCTGTGCAGACTTGGTGACCTTTGCAGTGTTGCCGATCTGCTTCTCCACAGACTTGATGACACCGACGGCCACGGTTTGCCTCATGTCTCGCACAGCAAAGCGACCTTGGAGGGAGAGATGGACCAGAGAAGATACAAACAGAGGAGTCAGTGTTATAATAAATGGAGAGACATAGATTTAAGGGGGGTTGTATGTCCCTCACCCAGAGACAGACCAGGCCAGTTTTATCTGACATGAACTCACATTTGATATTTTAACAACAAGGACTCTGCTTTCAGCTTTCAAAAGCTCCTTATCTAATGGATGCTCCCCAGATTATTGTGCAACAAGTCCTTTCCTTAAAAACTATATAGACTTATTTCCAGAATGCTCTATGTCACAAAAGTTTAAAAAATCTGTCTAGTCAACTTTCTGCACTGGAAAACAATGATTATTTTTAAAATTTTCAATCCAGAATCTGGAAGTACCACAGCATATAGGATGCCCACCTGAAAGTCACCGATGACCTTTTAATGGCTGCTGTATGTGCTCTGTTCTTTTACTACTGGACCAGGGTCAGCAAAGCAGGCAATAGCTTGAGGCCCCAAGAGAACCACTAATTAAATTAGACTACAACAGTGACAGTTCTGTTTGAACCCCCTTAAATGATGAACAAAAGACTGCAGTGACACCATGATCAGAAATCCCATACAGAAGCCCTATGCCAAAAGATTCATAATGTTAGAGGTACTGTTGATGTTTTGAATCACAAACACTGAAGCTCGTACATTGATTTTTAGACCATCTTAGACATATTTCCAAGTAATTTCAGCAATTTATTCCTTATTAAGGATAATTTTGGGGCATTTTTTTGTTTATTGGTGCTGGTTGAGAGTGAAAGGGCAAGAGAGGAGATGACACAAGTCCTTTGCCTCAGTACAAATGCAGAAATCGAGAAAAAGATAATTGTACTCACCCAGTGGGGCATAATCGCTGAAGGCCTCAACAACCATGGGTTTTGAAGGCACCATGAGGACAATGGCAGCATCTCCAGACTTCACAAACTTGGGGGTATCTTCGAGCTTCTTACCAGACCGACGGTCGATCTTCTCCACAAGTTCCTTGAATTTGCAGGCGATGTGAGCTGTGTGGCAATCCAGCACTGGGCTGTAACCATCGCTGATCTGGCCGGGGTGGTTCAGGATGATGACCTGAAATTTTGAAGTTTATGTGCAGTTAGAAATGGTGGCAAGAGTCGCTAATCATCTTAAGCAAAGGTGAACTTTGTTGTAGTTCCTGCTGGTGGCTAACAGAGGGTGACACATGTTATCACCTCAGATGGAATCATCCATTCAGCTCTTCAGAGATACAATGAAATCACATTTTGTTGGGTATCTAGCAACCTTCATTAATATATCATAAGAGGACATTAACATGTAGATTCAGTTCTTTTCAGTTTGTAATGTGTTTGATTAATTATAATAAATGTAGGATCGGTACAGTTAAATCCTATGACACAGAACATGGAGTTAAACAAATCTATGTGTGAAAAGGGTCTTTAAGTAAAAAATGTCAGTATTATAAATATATACAAAAGAGTCATGATTCTTATTTTCATAATAAAAATGAAACCTGAATTCAGGTTCTGTTTTTGTTCCTGCAGCTGAGTCGTCTCTGTGATCAATATGTTTATTTTTWGTAAATTGTGAAAAGAAGCTTTTCAAAAGATTTTCACATTTAAAAACCCAAACCCAGTCCCTTCCTTCACTTATTCCTTTTTTACATTGGTTTTCTCTTTTCCCATTTGAATCACCTGGGCTTTGAAGCTCGCAGCTGCCATCGGAGGGTCATTCTTGCTGTTGCCCGCCACGAAACCTCGACGGATGTCTTTTATAGACACGTTCTTGACGTTAAAGCCAACGTTGTCACCGGGTATGGCTTCAGCCAGAGACTCGTGGTGCATCTCCACTGTCTTGACCTCAGTGGTCAGGTTGGGGGGAGCAAAAGTGACGATCATACCAGGCTTCAGGATACCAGTCTCAACACGACCGACGGGGACAGTTCCAATACCTGAGAGAGAGCAGGAGGCAGGAGGCCATGTGTTTTTAATATACCTGAGTTTCTTACAAAATGAAAGTCTTTCATCAGGGGAAGAGTTCTGATAGTAAAATGAATACGAGTTGCAGCTGAGACAATGTGCATCAAGTTCCTTGTGTTGCAAACACTTATGTGATGTATAGTGAGGAGAGGCTGTAGCTGTCAGGATTTAGCTTTGACAGAAACACCTGAATCTGCTCACCCCCGATTTTGTAGACGTCCTGCAGGGGCACACGKAGGGGCTTGTCAGTGGGGCGGGAAGGTGGCAGGATGGAGTCCAGAGCATCCAGCAGTGTGGTTCCATTGGCATTACCCTCCTTGCGCTCAATCGCCCATCCCTTGTACCAGTTCATCTACGGATGTTTGTGAGAAATCAGTTCATGTTCACAATAATCGTGTTAAAACAAGTTGAAAATGTTCTCACCTTTTCACTGGTTTCAATCATGTTGTCTCCGTGCCAACCAGAGATGGGGACGAAGGCAACAGCGTTGGGGTTGTAGCCAATTTTCTTGATGTAGGTGCCAACTTCTTTCTTGATCTCCTCAAAACGCGTCCGGCTGTAAGGGGGCTCAGTGTTGTCCATCTTGTTGATACCAACAATGAGCTGCTTCACACCGAGTGTGAAGGCCAGCAGGGCGTGCTCACGGGTCTGGCCATTTTTGGAGATACCAGCCTCGAACTCACCGGTACCAGCAGCAACAATCAGCACGGCACAGTCAGCCTAAACAGGTAGAGGTTTTATGAATTTCTACATTTCTGTATACTGAATATTTTCAGGTTTTGCAATAACAGATTTTAAACTTCAGATTGAAAACAAATAGGAACAGGCAGGACTTTCAATGGATCCAACATAACATCAACTCCATTTTCAAAATGTTAGTTTTGGTACAAAGGTGATGGCAGAAGAAAATAGAATATTAGGGATAGATCGAGGATTTAAAGCAAGTACATGATCCTGCTAGATGAAGATCTGTGATATTTTCTTCAACTTAACTTGAAAATCAAGTAAGACTAGCTACTTATATGTCATGATGATATGGAAACAAATGCATATCCAGTAAACCTCTGGACTTGATCCTGGTAAGTTCATATCTACTTAAAGTTTGATGCACAAACCTAAAAACGACAAGTCTACACAGAATAAAATGTGTGTCTTTACCTGAGAGGTTCCAGTGATCATGTTCTTGATGAAGTCCCTGTGTCCAGGAGCGTCAATGATGGTAACACAGTACTTGTCAGTCTCAAACTTCCACAGAGCGATGTCGATGGTGATACCACGCTCACGCTCGGCCTTCAGTTTGTCCAGCACCCAGGCGTACTTGAAGGAGCCTTTGCCCATCTGTTGTGGTTAAGATCAAATGCAAACAAGGTATAGTTGAACACTTAAAGTAGAGTATCGGCTGCAGGAGTTACATTGACGAATACAAGTACAATGTTATTAATGAAAACAAACCTCGGCAGCTTCCTTCTCGAACTTCTCGATGGTTCTCTTCTCGATTCCTCCGCACTTGTAGATCAAGTGCCCGGTGGTGGTGGACTTTCCGGAGTCGACATGGCCGATGACCACGATGTTGATGTGGATCTTTTCCTTTACCATTGTTGTTTACTGCTCATGAAAGACACATTTATTTGAAATAAAATATGTGAGATTTCAAATGTTTCCATAATGGGGTCAACTTATTGTTTTATGTTTGGTAATAACAAGCTATAATAATACTCACAAACAAGTACATATCACACAAAGTTAAAGTATTAAATATACAGGCATTACTACACAATGTGTTCTCGATCTGATCTTTACTGATGCAACTGATTTAGATAAGCAACAATTAGCCAATTAATCGATTAGTTGACTGAACAAAAAGGCAAATGTTTTGATTGTATTAGTTGCTTCTGAAAAAAAAAATTGTGACATAAGATGCATTTTTCACTACTTTCCTACATTTTAGAGACAAATCAATTAACGAAGAAAACAAACAGTTTAATTATTAATTATTAGTTGGAGGCCAAAATTCATGAACATGCAGTATTCAATGTATTGTATACTTTTGTTTGAATACATCTACGTACACTGCAGTATTTAATGTGCTGTTTCTACCACTGTATAACACATTTCAATATATATTTAGGTTTGGTGTATACTAACTGCCACTAGATGTCACACTAGCACCAGGATCTTTGACCAAAACATTGACCGTATATAAAGATAAATGATACATGTTCCAACCAATTGGCAGTTTTTCCACTTCCCAAACCCTATTATACAAACCCAACAGCTTCAGTGATGCTACCATAACTAACTGCTTTAGCACTGCATAACTGATTCATCCTTCCTGCAGATGTTCGCCCAGATCTTACTGTAACCCTTCTCATTTCTTCCAAGGTGAATGGAGCTTCCTTTGTGCGGTTAGTGTCATCCCTTCTCTCTGATCTTGTCCTCTCTCGACCTCTCTTGCCCTCCTCAGTCAAGTTATCTGAACTATGGATTTGAATAAGTGCTTCACTATCGTCTTTGCCATCTCTTCATCAGACACTGCTGCATCCTCCCCCTCTTCAGTACTGGATACTGCCATTCCCTTTTGATCGCCCCCATGCTAATGCTAACTAATCATGCCCCAAACATCTCCCACAGGTTGATCTCCCTATGCTATTACAAAATGATCGTCACGTTTGCCTTTTAGCTTTACATACTATACTATTTTCCCGAACCCTTGCCTGTTTATATTCAATTAAACAAATAATGAGTTCTTCTTGATATCCTGAGAGCTTTATTCCTCCCTTTCACTGCTTGGCCACACTCATCCCTCCACCAGGGAGCCGCATTTCTCTTCATTCTTCCTTTACTTCTAGAAATTGACTGTTTCTCAGCATCTAGAACCATGTTTTAAACTTGTTTTATCAACTTCCTCAATATCTTCATTGAAGTCTATTTTATCCATCTCATTCTCACATATATACCTAAACACTTCCCACTTTGCACTGCTAAACAGCCACTTCCCCAAAACTTCCCTTTGTTCAGTATTTCTCCGTAGTGCTAGATCACCGGGAAATGAAAATCAGTGTGGAGAGCACTGACCACTGTCTCACACTGTTGCAGTCTGATTTTTTAATTGAAAACCTTATTTTGTAAATTACAGACTTTTTAAAGCACTTTCTAAATAAAAAGGGAGTTCATATTTGTCAGCCACGTCCAGTAATATAGGAAATTGGAATGATACATTGAAATGCACCGAGATACATTTAAATCGTTGACTGATGAATCCTAATCGAATCGTGAGACTAGTGAAGGTGCACACCTCTAGTGAGCGCACAGTCACGTCAGACAGGCAGCACCTCCCAGCTCCCAGATTGTGTAACGTCATCACCACTGCACAGTGGTGAAACGTGGCATCGAGTTCCTGCCGAGATACTTGCTCGACCAATTGAGTCATTACATTATGCGGGGAGTATTAGAGTCAGGAAATAAGAAAACTAATTTGAATTTCGAGATTTGAGTTGAAATGTCAAGAATAAAGTTGAATGTTTAAAATAAGTCCAAACAAACCAAAGAAGATTTTATGTTTTATTTTGCATTCATGGAATAAAGTGGAAATGTTAGGAATAAAATTGAAATGTCAAGAATAACGTTAAACTTTAAAGGATATTTCAAACTACTAATGTTAACAGCCTTAAATGAGTTAGATCAGTTCAGGGGGAGAAACCAGACGAAAGAGGTGGCAGCACTCGTTCTTCTATACTATGTATTGTCCATGTCTTTTCTATTATGTAGCTTATCTCAGTAGTTTTGATTGTCTTATAATATTTATATTTATATACCTTAAACAAGATGAAATGAAAAATGTTTGTGATAATGAAGTCTATGAAAGCCCTGGAACAGGCCGCAACCACGAGGAGATAGTTCTGTGGGAGGCACGTGGTCCAACATGGAGACCACATGCTCTGTGCTCAGGACGCCATTACTCGAGTACGACTTTAGATAGGAAATAGTTATCGGCCGCTTCATTACTGTTTAAAATTTAATATACATCAAATATTTAAACTCGGGAAAACCCGCTTGAAATAAAATTAAACCAAATTATTATATTGATGATCTTGGCAGCAAACTATTAGAAGAAAAAGATCATCAACCAAAGCCCCACTTCAAGTGTGTACTTCACTGAGTTTTAATAGATTGTGTACGTTTGATAGAATTATAGAACACTGTACTTTCATTTAAAATCTAGAAATGTCAAAGTCTTTTAACTCACCTGCTGAACAGAGGTAACAGATGTGCGTCCTCTTCTCTTGTGACCGTCCGAACCTTCACTTGCTGATTTATATATAAAGTCATGAGAGGGATACGCCTCCTCCGCTCCTCTTCCTCCTGGATGTCTGTCTCTGGACTCATCTCACGCCTCAAACCTGATACGTGTGAACAGTCTCATTCCGTCCATTTATAATTACACCACTGCCTGCTGCTGAGAGCAAATTCGACTGAACACTCAAAGACTCAAACCTAAACTGTTGATTCAGTTACTTTTTAAATGCCACAGAAGGAAATGAATAAAGTAGCGGAGATAGATTTCAGAGTTGAGTTGAAGCTGGTTCGTGTCCTGACAAGCAGAGCGACACACCCAGTGTATCTTGCCAAAAACACACACACACATCGTGTTTATAGGACACACGTTAAAAGATGGTAACAACTCACCTGCCTCACCTGTTGTACCTGTTTGTCTCTTCTGAAGCATTTAGTTTCTTTAGATTAACGTTAAGCTAACATTTCTTATGACATTAGAATACGATTTAATACCTGTGGAGGGATGGTAGTGACTCATTGACACTAATGTCACATTTCTCAGTCTCTTTCCCGGGTGTTTAAAACAATAAATACAAATAATGTCTTTCAGTTATCATTGAATTTGCTCATCAGCTGTAGTTGAAATGTGCTGTGTCTGTTTGAAGCAGTTAACAGTAACCTAACACTAATTTAAAGAAAGACAAAAGAAATGTCTTAATTTGGCAATGTTTAAGATTTTTATTGTTTTATTGTCAACTTAATCACTGTCACAGTTTTTCCTAAAAGGCACATGCCTTCCTTTCCTGCGGAAACTTTTACGATGGGTTTTAATCAGCATAAGCCAGTCCTTGAGCAGAGAGCTCTGCCTAAGAGAAGACGGTCCTGGGTGGCAAGGAAAGAGAAGGGATGGGGCAGCCCGCTGCTGCTGAGATGTGACAACTTGTTGGACGTCCTGAATGAGAATTCATTTCTTCTTTTCGGCCTTCTGTGCAGACTTGGTGACCTTTCCACCGGAGGCAAGTTTCTTCTCCACAGACTTGATGACACCGACGGCCACGGTCTGCCTCATGTCACGCACAGCAAAGCGACCTGGGAGGGAGAGAAGGGAGAGAAACGAGCCCAAGGAGTCAATGAGAAGCTTGAAACAACTTCAGTTCACATTAAATTCCGTAAAATCAAGTGGTATCTTGTTCAGGTCAATGGATATACATTAAACCACTGTTTATGACAAAGCTAAACTAACGAAGGTGTTTAAAGATTAAAGCTATGAACAGTATCTCTTTGACAGAGGAACACAATAACTTTTACTTAAATTCAAACTAACAAGTTTGATAAATTTCCATTTTGAGATCTTTTCTTTAGAAGAAATACAAACAATCAGCCATGACAGGAGTTCACTAGATTCTGTCTCATGGATCCTGACTGGTGGAACATCTCAGACTGATATAGATGGAAATAAAGAGGAGTCAGAATCGATTGGTCCTGTGCAAATGTGTTTGTTTCGAAGGATTGTTGTAAATTGTCAGTGACCAATGAATGAAAAGCTTATGAAACACAAAAGTAAATTTGGCAGTTGTATCATAGAAATTAGTATATTTAGAGTCTGATTTATATGTTATATAAAACTAATACTTCTGCTTCTGTCTTTAGTGACGACTGGGCTTTAAAATTAGGCTTTCAAAAACTAGAATGGCCATACCTCCATGAAAATGGCAAAAACATCACCCAATGTTTTCGGAAAGTGAAATAAAATCCCATCCCTCATCCCAATTTTTGCGGAAATGCTTTCTGTTGTTTTTGCAAAATTCTGATGACAAACCAACAAATAGACAAGAGTGAAAACAAAAAGCGTTTTACTCACCCAGAGGGGGATACTGGGAGAAGCTCTCGACACACATGGGTTTTCCAGGCACCATGGTGATGATGGCGGCATCTCCAGACTTGAGAGCCTTGGGGTTGTCCTCAAGTTTCTTGCCGGAACGACGGTCAATCTTCTCCTTGAGCTCGCTGAACTTGCAGGCAATGTGAGCGGTGTGGCAATCCAGCACGGGGGCGTAACCCTGTGAGATCTGTCCGGGGTGGTTCAGGATGATGACCTGCAGAGGGAGAAACACAGAGAGACACGGGGGGAGGTTTGAGGAACATGGGTGGTGTGAAAATAAGTGTTGCACGTTTTGGACCATTATCATGACTGTTGTTTTTTGTTGTTGTCTTTTACACAGAACTCAAAAGTGAACCATAGTGACTCATGAATAAAATCTCAGATCGCACAAAATATCACCTGGTATAACAAGACTTTGAGTGAATGGATGTGAAACTCCGGCTATCTGGGTGTT